CAAAAAAGTATTTTAATCCATAGGTAGAATACTCAGTTAAGAACTAACGCTATCACAGTTTAAATTAGGGGCGCCTGGCTGACTCGGTCTGTAGAGCATGCAACTCTTGATCTCGGGGTTTTGAGTTCAAGCCCCACATAGGGTATAGAGATTACTTAAAAATAAAATAATTTTTAAAAAACCAATAAAGTCTAAATTAAACATATACACTTTAGAGTGAACTGCACTTTAGACAATGCACTGCCACTGTTCTTTTAAAAAACATTGCAACACTGGTGTAATATGATCGGAGATGAAGACAAATCATTAACACAGCAAGACAATTTTGAGAAGCATATCCTGTTCTTTCAGCTACTAAAATTTCACAAATTTTTTTACTTAACAATTGACACCTTATACTAATTCATGATTGAGAGAAAAAAATCCATAGTTGATGCTCTGCCCTCACATGAGATAACCTCAAAATGTACTTGCTTTTCTTCTATTAGATTCAATGAATGAATCTTTCTGCAAAAATGCTTTAGGTAAATTTTATAGCTCTTTCAATATATAATCTATTATTTTATAGGAAAACAGACACTCAAAATAACTTGGCATCAGAAAATCATATTTAAAATTGCTTTTTTTATGTGAATAATCTCATTTCTTGTTAGATCAAACACTGTAGCTACTAAAAAAGAAAAAAAAAGATTAAGTTTTCCTATAAAATTAGCTGTCCATCTAATTCATGTACTTTGAAGAAGGTGACCTGCCTCAGACTTTCTTATCTCCGGACCTTCTTAAACTACAGTAAATTTCAATCTGGAACTTCAGCGTGCTTTGTGATTAACACCCATTAAGCTGGAGGTCAAGGAGCAGGCCAGGCCAGAGACTAAATTTTGGTTCGAATGTCAACAAATGGAAATCCTACTTCATTTTGCCCTCTGCTCCCCAATTAAGAGCTCTGAACTTCTGTTGCAGGGGTTCACTAAGCATCATACACACTCAAGTGATGGATTCTCTCAAGTCACAGGTTCCTCCTTTCAATTGGCCTAGACTGATGCCTCAGAGAGACAGGTGGGTGTGAGAAGAAACTGAAATATAAATCAGAATGCCCATCTTCCTATAGAAAAGACTCCTGAACTAGTAAGGCTTTCCCTCTCCACCTAAATCCTCAAGAATGGGCAACACTAAGTAATCAATCCACTTTCTTTGCCCATTGGCCTATCCACAATGGGAGTGCAGTAGAAATACTTGAGAAAAAAGAGGGGAAAAATAAAAAGGGTAGAAAGCCATCACTTTGAGGAGTAAAACCGCTGGAGAAGGAAGAACCTGAAGGAGTCAGTTGATGGCAACCAGCCTTGACAGCAGTTAATTTATCACCACACGAAGATGTTGGCGAGTTAAGCACAGTACTGACATGTGTACAAACTCCAGGCACTAGACTCAGCCTAAAATTCATCAGAAAATGGTAATAATTGGGGACCACACATTTGAAATATACCACTGAAAAGGGAGGGCAGTCATTAGAGGGCCACAGCCACAACGGTAGACCTCTCCTCATGCCCAAGGTCAGGTTAATGCCATACCTGTCATCCACTGAACCAACTGGGTGAACACATGGAAGACAAATGTGTCCAAGGGCACTGTGTTATTTGCACCAGATAGATGCCTTTTTCACTGTTTTTAGTATCCACATGGCCTGTCAGGAAAGAGTGACAGCAAACACAAATTTGCTCAGATTTGTTTCATGAATGTTAGTGCTTTAGGAATGCTCCAAGGTCTGGCCAGGTTAGGCTTAGGTAGGGATCCAGGCCAGATCTGATGTATCCTGCTGCCTTCCTCCCAGTTTTTACCTCTTCCTTACCCCTTCCTTTGATCCAAGAAGGATTCAACTTAATCAAAGGGAATGTGGTTGGTAGCCTCCAAGCAGCCTTTGCTTTTAAACAGGTTCTCACCCTCGGGTATTTACTCAAAAGAGTAGTCAAATAATTAGCTAAAACAAAGCAATCACACTGATCAGTCAGGCAATTCTTAGACTAGTTCAAATCTCCAGAGAGGCTTTAACAACAGTTCTAAAGAACTGAACCCAGAGGACACCTGGGTGGCCCAGTGGGTTAAGCATCTGCCTTCGGCTCAGGTCATGATCCCAGTGTCCTGGGATCGAGTTCCGCATTGGGCTCCCTGCTCTTTGGGGAGCCTGCTTCTCCTTCTGCCTGCCGCTCCCCCGTTCATGCTTTTTCTCTCTTTCTCTGACAAATAAAAAAAAAAAAAAAGAATTGAACTCAGGTCTTCCAGTGCAGAGAAGTAGGGATTGAGGTGAAAACTGCAAGGGAGGATAGAAAACAATTTTTAGAATAAAAATCTCTTCATTAAAATATACAAACAATGACAAGAATTGTCTACATGTTCATGAAAATCCTTCATTTCCTTTTGCAATGTAGATTCCTGGCAGAGTGTAAGGGCAATTGAACTACAATGTCCCAGTTTTCCAAATTAAGAAAATAAAATAATTGTTTCCCTAACCTTCAAATTCTACTTCTGAAGGCTAAACTTAAGCTTTAAGAATCACACACCAAAAGAGGGTACAGGTAAACCTCGTTCAATTTTTTTCATCTGCTGTCCTCGTTTCTCATCTCTATCAATCTTCTTAGAACTACTGTGGAAAGAAAATTTAAAGGACCAGTAAAAAAAGATAGTTCCATTGATAAGAAGCCCAGCTTATCAATGACATGCTAAAACCTGTAACCTCACTAATCACTTCAGCAGTGTGCCTCAATTGTTATATTTAATATACTCTTCATCCTTAAAAATTTAACAAGTACCAGGATGCCTGGATGGCTCACTTGGTTAAACATCTGCTTTCGGCTCAGCTCATGATCCCACGGTCCCGGGATGGAATCCTGCATTGGGCTCCTTGCTCAGCGGGGAGCCTGCTTCTCCCTCTGCCTGTCACTCCCCCTGCTTGTATACTCTCTCTCTCTCCCTCTGACAAAGAAATAAATAAAATCTTAAAAAAAAATTTTAACAAGTACCAATCCTGTATTCCATTTGAGAAACTTCAAATGGAAAGAAAACTGGAAAAAATATTTTTATTAACATAAAATGAGTGTAAGTGGAACTTCCCACCTCCCCTTCATATATTTACTGATAACCACCTGACAGGGTGATAGTGATGTAATGTGGGTAGGGAAGAATGGGGGTAGAGTGTGCAGTTTCCTTTTCCTAGTGTTGACTTGTTTTCAGTGCTGACACAACCAACCCTACTCAAGGAAAGCATAGACAACAGAAGTGGTTATTACGGTGATTGAGAGAAGACTGAGAAACTGACCAATTGCCAGCAATTATTTTTATAGATTCCTTCCAAATCGCTGATATTCATGAGGAAATAGCATAAACAATAGAATAATGCTATATTAGTATATCCATATGGTATCTTTAAAAGTGATTCCAAGTATTTCATGTCCTGTAATTAGCTGAAGTCTGGAATGCCCTCTCTGGTTCTTCTACTGCTCATTTGTTACTGTGCCGTTTGACAGTAACAGGAGAACCAGATCAATTCTTAGGAGGTTTGTTTATTCATGAAATAACATTTAAGGAATGAATACCCGCTTATCACATAAAAGAATCGAGTTATTTGCTTAATCTATAAGGGGATGCAATATGTTAAAATGCATCTATCCGGCACTTGGAAATAGATTTTTCTAGGAATTTAAAAAGCCCACAAAATCTCTTACTGGTTTAAAAAACAAACAAACAAAAAAAACGGCGAAGCAGTTATAATTACACCATGGAGTTTTGCAACCGTTTCTTTTTTGTTTTCAGTCCTGATTTTAGAAACCAGACTGCAAAGAAGTGAATAATGAGCTTCCAAAAACACTGTTCCCACCACCAAATAAATCAAACTGTTACTTAAATTAAAAAAAGGTAGAGCAATGAGGCGGTTCCAAGAGTTAATCGTGGAGATAATGACTGTTGAATTCCTTCACTGGAAAAACTTTCAACTCCCCGTCGCACCCTCCATCTGCCAGCCGTTCAAAGGATTCGTGGTAAAAGTATCCAACGTGAATACAACAGGGCCAAGGCTCGAAGCTCAGGCTGCGGTTCCTACTGGGAGGAGTAGTTCCCGGGAGGAGGAGAAAGATCTCCGCGGGTACACAGCCCTCCCATCCTAACTCTCCCACGTGGTACCTGTGGGTCATCTGTCTCCACGGCCGCAGGGCTCCGCCACCAGCGTCGGGAGAGGCTGTGGTCCCGTCTCTCTCTTTTTTCTTTCTTTCCTTTTTTTTTTTTTTTTTTTTTTTTTTGCCCGGGAATGCCCAACAGAGCGAAGCCCACAGCCTGGGCACTGCCAACCAACTACTTTCCTGGATGGACTGTAATTACTTTCGAAGGATAGATTCTTCGTTGTTTCCCCAGCCCAAACCTGGCACGCGCCCGCCCATCCACCCGCCCGGTCCGGTGACCGCTCTCCCGACTTCGAACACGGAGCCGCGCGCGCGCACCGCATCTCTCCACCCTACCTCCCCCGGGGCCGCGCGCGCACACACACACCTGGGCCGCTCTAAGGTGGAGTTCTAAAGCAGTCGACCTCCCTTCCCAGCGCCCAGGTGTTGAGATCCACGTGCAGAAGGTGCGAGAAATAGCTCACTCGGAGCCGGAGGCAATGGGGGAGAAGAGATGCTGGTTTCAGAGTTAGCCCCCTCTGGAAGCCGAGTTCGTAGTGGCTAAGAGCACCAGCGCCTCCCAAGGTCCCCGCCGACGGCGGCACTCGGAACATTAGCCTGAGGCGCGCGCCCGGGTCTTCGCGACCCCAGCCCCGAGGAGGCGGGGCAAGCCGCGGGGAGCCGGCCCTCGCACGCAGCTCGAAGCCCCGCCTCCTAGCCCGGCGCGCGGCCTCGCGGCGCAGAGAACGGAACACACGCCCCACCCCCTTCCCGGCCGGCCAATGGGCTTCCGGGCCGCGCACTGTGTGGCCCCGCCTCCGCCAGGGAAACTTGGAGCAGGAGAAAAGTTTGTACAGAGGCTGGAAGGGCGAGAGCGGAGCTCGAAACCCTGCAGCCAGGAGGAAAAAGATGAAAGATCCCAGGTCAGAACCTCAGGCCGAGCGGACCACAAACCGCCCCTGGGGCGTCGGAAGCACCCTCAGTGTCAGCCGCCAGCCCCGATAGCCGCCCGTGCTGCCCAGGGCTGAGGAGGACCGCGGCCCGAATCCGGGACTGAGGCTCCGTGCCACCTGCGCGCGCGGCCCCACACCTGCGCGCTGTCCGCCGGGGGACCGGACCTGCGGGCTCCTCAAAGTTTGGTCCCGTCTTTGAAGGTACGGAAGAAAAAAAGAAGAAAGAAAGAAAGAATCCAAGATCAGGTTGAATTGACCCATCCCGCTACCCTTCTGGCTCTCCCAAGTGTTCGAAAGCTTGCCATTCTGACCCCAGTTCCGGAAAATTGGCAGCCACAGAGACCCGGTTCTGAGAAGACAAAGGCTTGGCAAGCTCCACACTGAGCGGGCGAGACCGAGGGCAGGTTGGAGGCGTGTGGTGGACGTCTGAGTCTTGACCCTGGGGTCCTCCGCGGCCCCCATCGCCGCGGCTCCCACAGGTAGGATGAGGGTTTGGGGGCACTGGGCCGAGAGCGGTGGGCGGGCGCTCCTCGACCGGAGCCCGGGAGGAGCGAGTGCGCTTTCCAAATTGCCTTCCGTAACTTGTTTTGAGTGAGGATTTTATTGACTCAGAATCTGTCGGGAATAAGAGCGAACCACTCACTTATCCCTAGAGATAGGTCTTGTTCATCTTGGCAGTGGAGAGAGTTAGGGCTGGGGGAGGAGGAGAGAATGGCAGTATCAACTGACAAATTACCAATGGCAGGAGAGTGGGTGCTTCTGGCAGGAAGTATCCGGAGCCTGGCGATTTCGGTAGCCGAAGGTGGTCAGTGGCTACAATCCACGATGCAGGATCCAGTTGTTCCTCTCGTCTCATCAGAATATTGTTTCTTGGGCGCGGGTCTGACACCTTGCAAGTGGTCATTTCCCCTCACCGGGCCTTTGTCTTTCCTACCATCCCCAGACCCAGCCTCGAACTCCAAGGCTGCGTACCGAGGGTCACCACCATGTCCACTCCTGGGGTCAATGCGTCCGCCTCCTCTACCCCTGACCGTCCGAACAGCCCGGTGACCATCCCGGCGGTGATGTTCATCTTCGGGGTAGTGGGCAACCTGGTGGCCATCGTGGTGCTGTGCAAGTCGCGCAAAGAGCAGAAGGAGACGACCTTCTATACGTTGGTGTGCGGGCTGGCCGTCACCGACCTGCTGGGCACGTTGCTGGTGAGCCCGGTGACCATCGCCACGTACATGAAGGGCCAGTGGCCCGGAGGCGAAGCACTCTGCGAGTACAGCACCTTCATCCTGCTCTTCTTCAGCCTGTCCGGCCTCAGCATCATCTGTGCCATGAGTATCGAGCGCTACCTGGCCATCAACCACGCCTACTTCTACAGCCACTACGTGGACAAGCGGCTGGCCGGCCTCACGCTCGTCGCGGTCTATGCATCCAACGTGCTCTTCTGCGCGCTGCCCAACATGGGCCTGGGCAGCTCGCGGCTGCAGTACCCGGACACCTGGTGCTTCATTGACTGGACCACCAACGTGACGGCGCACGCCGCCTTCTCCTACATGTACGCGGGCTTCAGCTCCTTCCTCATTCTCGCCACCGTGCTCTGCAATGTGCTGGTGTGCGGTGCGCTGCTCCGCATGCACCGCCAGTTCATGCGCCGCACCTCGCTGGGCACCGAGCAGCACCACGCGGCGGGCCCAGTCGCGGTGCCCTGGGCCCCCTGCCGGAGCAACCCGACCGCCGCCTCCCCCGTTCTGCCGCGCCTCAGCGACTTTCGCCGCCGCCGGAGTTTCCGCGGAATAGCGGGCGCCGAGATCCAGATGGTCATCTTACTCATCGCCACCTCCTTGGTGGTGCTTATCTGCTCCATCCCGCTCGTGGTGAGTGGCCTCCCGGGAAGGCGGCCCTTCTGGGCCCTTTCCCCGCATCCACCTCCCTCCTCCGTCTACCGCTTCCTCTCTTCCCTCTCGTGCCTTGACGGTGAACTTGTCCTCCAGGTCCAGGCTGGGCTTTCCACACTCGGCTTCTCACAGAGCAGGCCAACCTCCCCAGTGAGATGTAGCAGGTGCTTTTCTCCTAGGCCCCCGAGTTTCTTTCTCCGAAAGCCTGGTTTCCTTTCTCTCCCGGGACAGCCCCTACCCCTTGCTGCCTGACATTGGCCTTGAGGCTTCCGAGAACACCTGCCACTCTGTCAGATGTGGAGGGGAAACCGCTGTAGTGTGACTTAAGTCCTCCACAGTGAACCGCAGAAGCCCGAAACCTCCGGGGTGGTGATCTCTTTGTTAAACACCATTCCTTAGGGCAGTGGGTGTTTGGTGCTTTGATTTGTGCACGGAGTTTTTTTCCTTTTGGTTTGTTTGTTTGTTTTGGTAGATTATGTGGCAGTTTAGAGCTAGAGAGATTGGATGCGTTTTGGTCTAGTCTGACACCCTCACATGACACAGGGCGTGACTTGCTTAAAATAATCTAGCGGACCTACACTGTCAGGCTAGATTCCCTGCTCTTTACTGTGCTGTGTGCACTGCAGGTGGGGGTCACATTTCCTACTAGGGCACAGCCCAGAGTTAGGTTCCTTCATTCTTTCTTGGAACCAGGAAAGCCAGGATTCTCAAGGGGCCTATGAAGGGCCGGCTGATGTACACGGGTTACTGAATTTGCATTCTCAACAACTGTGAGAGGTACAGTGCCATTCTAAAGAAAGGAGGCTTTAGAGATGGTGATCTAGTTACTGCCAAGCCAAAACTCTGCAGCTTGTGATGAACCTCAGACCCACCTGACTCCAAACACATAATATTACATCATGTCTCACTCCTAGAACATTTCTAATTTTGGCCTTCGTACAGTGTGTGCATTTGAGTTTTGGCACACTTCACTTTTAGGACACCGCCTTCTTTAAAATTGCCTTCGGATTAGCTTTTAAAATGTTACAAGCAGAAAGGCTGAAAACACACCTACTTCTCTACTTTGCCTATCATTAAACCAGAATGCACCAGAAACTGATCGGCTCATGCACATAACACCTTCTCCAGAGTTCCTCTTGAAAGCAACAGATTCTGAGTTTTTCCATCTCTCAAAACACTGTATTTCTAGAAATTCTAAACTACCAACTCAAAAAGAGAGGACTTTTCTTTCTTCTGCTGATTGGGAACAAGAGAAAATAAATGTAATGAGCTATTCTTCCTTTCTTTCTCTTATTAATATGGTCCAGGGATCTTTCATATAAAAATATTATATCTGTGATAAAAGTGAGTGTAAATGAAAGGAACTTAGATGTGGCTGAGAGCCAGCATACAGTAGCTTCTTGACAATTTGTATAAACAGAAATAAATATAATTGGCCAGAAGGGCCTTTAAACCATTCCAGGATCCAGTATAATTTACCGAGTTAAGTCACACTTGAGCCACATAAATATATTTTACTGTCTGTAATGGCAACTCAGAATACCGTGAGATTTTGGAAGAAACAACCCTGCTCCTGCTAGGGCTCCTTTCTCCGGCTGAGCCTTAAGTTTTACAGAACAGTAAATGACAAAGTGAGGGGCTGTTATGTACAGAAGAACATCCACTTTAAGGAACTAGCATTACATCTAGTTCAGCAACATGCACATACTTCTAAAATATGAAGGTAAGCATATGAAGCTGTTGATGATTGATTGCACAGTGACAGATGAATTGTTTTCTTGGAGCATCTAGAGAGGCATAAAAAACTTCATTCATTTTATGGGCTGAAGTGGACCTGCCCCTGTGGTATGGGGCCATTTATCACAAAGCCTTTGAAGTTACTTGAGAAGCTAGAGGTAAGACACTATAGGAGCTATACTTGTAGTCTGCAAATTAGCCACATTTTAACTAACAAATACTATCCACTATTATATAAAGTCAGTAACGTACAGTAGATACTAAGTAATTTTACTCTGAAAATTGAAACTGGCTCAGCTAAAAAGTAATCATAGTAAAGTAGTCATGTGCCTTTGTAAGTAATAAGGAATCATACAAGTAATAGTAGCTTCAGTGTTTAGCCTTTAGTTCTGGCTACCGGACTCTAATTTCAGAATCAATTTAGTTGTAAATTAATGATAATCAAGGAGGTCATTATACTACCCACCCACCCACAGTTTGGCTGTTACTGGAAGAGTTAAAAGGGGAATTTACCCATAACTATAGTCTTCCTTGGCTTATTACTTTTACGACTTTCTTGTATTTTAATGTTTCTCATACTCAGATTGTAATTTAAGTTTAAAGTTTCTGAACGCTGACATTTAAAGCAGTTGGACCTATCTTCAGTTCCAAGGAAACTAATGAAGCACCTTTTTTACCTTTATCAAATCAAGTTAGTTGCTAATCCTATTTGAGGAAAATCAAACCTTTCAAAACACTTAAAATGCTTCCGAAAGGCTAATAGAGCAAATAGAGTTTCCTTGGAGTTTCAGAAAGCTTGACACATTGTATAAGGTTAACAAGCAGCCGAATTTTGTCTTTTGGACACCAGGGAAGAAAAACTACAGTGGCTCTTAGAGGGCACTTGATACTGAGTTTCATAGAAAAAAAGTAAATTTTAATTTGTTATCCAAAACACGTCTCATACATAGAGCTTGGAATGGAAATTTGAGAAAGCTTGGGAAATTAATCATGGATATAAGAAACTCTGCTAAACTTGAGAAATTTTCTAAAATGAACAGAGAAGGTTCATAAGTACATTTGACAAGGAACATTACATGACAAGATTTGGTGGGAAGGTGGTTCTTGTCATTTTGCCTATTCCATTTAAAATCAGTCTCTGGTTTTTTTAAACCACAAAAAGCTGAACAAATGAAAGAGTCTACACTTAAGATAAATGTAAAAGGGATTGAATTCTTCAGAAATATGCAAACAAGACAGCCTCCTAAGGTCCCAGTGTTAAATACTAGAGCTAGATCAACTTCTGGTGCCCAATTTTACAGTTACTAATGTCGAGATAACAATTAAAATCAAATCTTTTGCCTCGAAACTGAACAGTGAACGCTGTAGGATTTGAAAAGGCATTTTCTCCCTTGCATAGGCAAGCCGAGGTCAAATTTACCGCTTACTTCCTTCTCTTACTTTCTTTCTTCTTACTCTGAAATAACAAGGATTCATCTCTGTTAGGGGTAGAATGGCCAGTTTGATTCATCTTCTGCTTTGGACAAGTAAAACATTGATCTTTAGGAAAATAGCTTCCTGTGAGTGTTTATTTGGTTGTTTACTATAAACCAGTTGTCTCTGTAAAGCCTACACCAGCATTCAATCAAGAGAGATTTATTAGAGCAGAGGAAAACTGGAAAAAGATAGACTTTTGTTTACCGGAAGCAAACTGGAAGTGGAGTCATCTGATGGAATTTCAGATGAGTACAAATCAGTTAAAGGCATAAGAGCAATGCCATAAATTCGAGTACTCGTACAGCAGAACCTGAAGGGTTTGATTATTTTTTCAAATAAATTTGGCTAAGTTAAAAACATAGCAGTTCCTGAAAGCGGTGTTTTAGTCATAAGCATGGAATTGCAGACCAAGTTAGTGCTGGAACCTTGAACACTGCAGAGTAGCCCATGAAAGGGATTCCCACCTCCGGCATCTTGTCTGACTTGTGAAGAAAGCAGGGCTAGCCAATATTTTCACTCGTTCCTCAGTCTTCTCAAAGGCACATGAGGAATTTCTATCCTTCTGCAATTTGCTGGGGGGCTGGAGGGCATCCGGTCTCATGGACTTTTACACCATGCTTTTGCTGACCTGCCAAGGCTCCGTTTTATGGAACATCTACTAACAAGATTTTTTCCCCCCAGAGACGAAGTGATTCTTGTAATCTCCCATTAGAATATTGAAAGTTCAAGTAGAGAAAAAAAAACAAAACACAACTTCAGAAATATATTTTCAATGTGGAGACAGACGTGTAGAGATTAAGTAATTTGCCTGGAGTAAATGGCTAGTTACTGATCCAGAGGGAAGGAGAACGGAGCACTCTTACACCATCACATGGGCAAGAAGTCTTTCCACTCTCCTTTACTTAAAGATTTTTTTTTTTTTTTGGTCATTAAAAAAAAAGTGGGAAGAATTTCTAGTAACAGCTGTGTCAATTTTGGATTCTTCACAGGGCAGTTAGATAACAGCACACACACATAATTCCATTTATGTTCTTGGAACAGAACACATAGCACACACAAATCCCGCTCTAGGATCTTGTCATTTATTGGAAAGCATTTGTACTTTGACAGTCAGTGACTAAATCAGTCTCATCAAAATTTCAACATGCTTTTTCAATTAGACATTCCCTGCTAACTGGTTTTTCTTACATAGGAAGTACATGTTTTTGATACCAAATCCTTTACACCCCGAAGCTACTTCTAAGCTATGGTTTTGAAATTATTCCTATATTCCACAGTAGCCAAACTTCCATGTATGGGTTACCAAGAAAGCAAGGACAGCAGGCATATATGTTGTGTGCCAGGCATTATATACGAAGCACTTTCATCATCTGCACATGAATTAGAAGGAGCAGAGCCAGGACTTGAACCGGGTTTGTTTGATTCAGAGCGTGTGTGTGTACCTTTACAACATACAGCGTCACTTATAGCTCTCCTGTCCTCACACCTTGTTTTGAATTTATCATATTTTCTCCCAAGTTATGCTCCAGTGCTCCTGAGTCCTAAGCTCTAGTCATCTTCAAGCACTTTAGAAGACGGTAATGTCTGCCAATGTTAAAGATAAACCACACGCACAAATCTGCAGCTCCTAAAAAATAGATTCGCTTTTAAAATTGCAAGAGAGTATATATGTTGTTTGTATCCAATGAAGTGTTTTAAGGTGTCTTTTTCCCCCAATGCAGAGGTTCTGTTTTATCACACTCTTCCAGCACTGAAAACTGCCTGAACATGTTTATTTGTGAAGCATTCCTGTTGGACAGGAATTCCAGAAAAGCGCTTTCTCCTCCCCACATGACATTGAACACTGCTGTGGATATTCCTATCCCTGCTGCTTTGGGGAGAGCAAACCAAGTAGCCTTTAAAGTGAGGCAGAGATTGCTAGACTTTAAAACATTATGGAGTGCATGGAGCTTTTGTTCATTTTTGTCTTTTTCTCCACCTCAAGTCAATCTCCAATGAGAACACACTGCAAAGGAAAACTGGTTTGTCTTGATTTGTTTTTTTTCAAACAATTTGACCAACTTTTGCGAATGTTTTTATCTGAACTTGAAATGTTGCTTTTCATATTCGTCTTTATTGCTACCTTATGGGCTCCTCTTTGCTAAAATGACATTAAGTAACCAGGCTCAGTGGCTTATATTAATTGTAAGCTTGCACACACACACACACACACACACACACACACATATGCCCATGGAACTCTAAATAGGGCTTCCTTCATTCCCTTGGACACGAGTCAAAATCAACTAGGGCCGTGGATGAAGTGAGACACAGATTGATGTGATGCTTTCCTTGCCTCTCATCACCTTCGCTTACGAAAGCCCAATTATTAATTTTTTACAACTCTCTGGCTTTTCTAAAACGTCATAGAAATTTTAAAATAAAATGCTAACTCCTAGTACATTCCTGTAAATAGCTACAGATTTCATTCCTTTTATATCCATTACAACCATTCAAAAATTTTCCTCCTTTCAGAACTAATCCTGTTTCTTTTGAGGTAGGGGTGGGAGAGGCAACCAGCAACAAAAGATTTCAATGTTAAAAACCTCAGAAATGCAAAGTTCAGACTTCACCAAGATTCTGCTCTGAAAGAGGGTCTTAGAGATGGCCGGGCGAACTGCTGCTTAGGGAGGGCCTGTGGAGCAAAAACTCCCAGGTGGAGCAACACCGCCACCTAGAGGCTATAAGTCTCAAGTTCTCACAGACCCTGCCTAGGTTTTTTTCCTAAAGGCTATGCACAGGGAAGGCCTGATACTAACACATTTAAGTCCACTATTTCTTTTACCCTTAGGAACACAGTAGGTGATGTGAGTAATATATTAACCTCATGCTTTGTACCAGTGATTCCATTGTCAGGAAATAATTCTTAAACAGAAAGCCAGCCAGCCTGTAGAACAGAAAAAACAACATGGGATTCATCAGGAGATCTGGGGCCCAGACCAGAATCAGCCACCGACAGGGTGGCTTGATAAGTTCCTCAAAACCTTCAGGTCTTGGCAACACTTCATCTAAGAAAAGGCCTGTAGACCAAACACAGCTCAGTGCCTCAAAAAAGATTATGGTAAGAAGAAACCAAAATGCTTTTTTTCACTATTTTTTTATAAAGATAGACAATCAATCCTGCTTTGTCTTGTTAGTATCACTTATCCAAGCAGTTTCTGAAAGTCTTTTAAGACATCATATACTTCTGTTATCCTAGCTCACCTTTGATTTAGCTATCTTCCAGAGATCAAGGTATTAATTTCATGCTAGTGAGAGCCATTTGACCATTTTATTTTATTCTGTGAGATTTACAGGATCATAATCCCTTATCCAAAACATTTAGGGCCAGAGGTGTTTTAGAATTCAGAATTTCTTGGCTTTTAGAAAACCACTTTAGTAATATACTGTATAATATGTAATTGGGACGATATCTCTGAAGCAAATCACAGGAATACTTACACTCAGTAGTATAAATAAACTGCAAATAGCCTATCTAGTTCAGTTCAGGTTTTACTGCCGAAATAAGTTTAGCTCAGGTTTTGCAACCAAAAACAAACAAACAAAAAACCAAATGAATAACAACAAAATAACCCCCCAAATGAAAAACAATAACTTCTTAGAAAAGGACTATGGACCTGAGCTGATCAAGGTCTGAATTCCCACTAAGGAAGAAATAGAAGTATGGTTACACCTCACTGATCTAGCTTCCTCTAGAAACAAGTTTCTCATGAGTTGAGTTTTGCAGATTTATTTCCTTCATTTTAAGCTTATCTAAACTGTTCTAAATCTTTCTAAAATATCTCTTCTGTTTCATAGTGATTGATATACCAGGAGTATTAATTATTATACTGTATGGTAAAGTAGCAATGTCCTCAAGTCTTGTTAAAGTTAGAGATATTTGCCCCTAGTTAAATGGCTCCAGCTCTGCTTTTGTGAGTTCCTTCTCCTTTTTATGGTTTTTATGCATCCTCCTTGGCTGAGACTCCACTCTTCTCTGTAACTTAAAATAATTACCAAAGGCAAGTGATAATTACTAAATAATTGCTAAAGACAGAGATCAGTTATCTTAAAACCACTTTTTATGTGAGGTGAGATCTTTCTATAAAAATCCTGGTGGAATTAGAAGTAAGATTTAGACAATAATACTCTAAGAGTAAATTTAAGGGGCACCTGGGTTGCTCAGTCGGTTGAGTGACTGCCTTCAGCTCAGGTCATGATCCCTGGGTCCCAGGATCGAGCCCCACATTGGGCTCCCTGCTCAGCAGAGAATCTGCTTCTCCCTCTCCTTCTGCTGTTCTCCCTGCTTGTACTCTCTCTCGCTCTCGTTCTGTCAAATAAATAAAATCTAAAAAAAATTAATATAAGTAAATTTAAGAGTGTACATTTAGCAAGTGCTTTTTCCTCTAAGGAGTAAAATGTAGTCATCCTTAAGTTTATATAAATTCATGCTTTCTTCATTAAATCATTTGAAGTTGGCATATTATTTCATTCTTCCATGACTTTACACATGGAATTACCTCTATTTGAAATGCTATGTCCTTCCTTCTAAATTTAGCAAACTCCCCCTCATCCATCAAAAACTCCAGGCAAGCTCCCTCCTCCTGCAGGAGGGGCCCTCTCACGCTCTCCCCTCCTGATCTGGATTAGTCGTGCCCCCTTAGAGTCTTCTCCCGCTTCATTTAATCACTTTGCAGTCACAGCTGGTTCTCCTTCCTGTCTTCTGCACTGTAGGTTACTCTGCCTTCAAGAAGTTTGTGGTATTTAATGCAACTTTTTGTGGCCAGACTTACCGCAATGCCTAACACACAATAAGTGCCTACTCTTAAATGATGAAATGCGTGAAAGAATATGAGTAACTAAGTGATTAGGATAAGAGCAAAATTTGTGAACTGCCAAAAATAAGACTCCAAAATGGCAAACAGGTTGTTAGGGTCTCCTTGTGTTCCCTTCATTTATGCCTACCCATCCTGTGGTGGGCTGGCAGACATGCCTTTTGCCATAAATAACTCAAACTGCTGTAGAACCAGCTGTCTTCCCTACTGGTCTGTGCAGAGGTGCTCTCAGCACTTGGCTATTTACTGGCTCAAATGCTATATAGACAGAAAGGAGGGACGGATTTTTTTTTTAAGATTTTATTTATTTGAGAAAGAGAGAGCATAAGCAGGGAGGCAGAGGGAGAGAGAGAAGCAGGCTCCAAGCCCAAGGCGGGACTCGATCCCAGGACCAGGAGATCATGACCTGGGCTGAAGGCAGACACTTAACCGACTGAGCCACCCAGGAGGGACTGATTCTGCCAGGAGTTTCAGGAAGGATTCACCGAGTGACAGTTGTTGAACAAAACTATAGTTTGCAAGCAGCCCGGAGCCACCAAAAGTTTAGCAATTGAGCAGCACAGTCAGATCTGCTTTCTAGACAGAATCCTCTGGTGGCAGTTTGGAGGATGGATTGGAGAGGAGAGGAATTGGAGGTGGGAAAGCTACTTGGGTGGCTGATGCAATAATCCAGGTGAGAAATGCAGTGCGAGGGAAAAGATTGGAAGAGGTGTTTGAAGGAAGACTTGGTACCACTAGGGGATTACTATAACTGGGGAACAGACTCTATAGAGAAAATGAAAACTATTCTCTGGTCATACTGGATGATAGGAGATTCAGAGAGTGGTTTAAAAGTTTCCAGTGTATTCTTACTGGACTCTATAATAAAGGAAATCTCTGGACTTTTCTGTGATGATTGGATGGTGGGTTGACTTACAAAATGAGTTTCATTTACATATATAAAAAGGCAACTGGAGGGACTCCTGGGGTCGAGCCCTGCATCGGGCACCCTGCTCAGCAGGGACTCTGCTTCTCCCTCTGCCCACTGCTCTGCCTTCTTGTGCTCTCTCTCAGGCAAATAAATAAATAAAATCTTTAAGAAAAAGTAATAAAATTTAAAAAATTAAAAGGCAACTGGCATAAGGGAAATCGATGGCTATGGTGGGGGGAAAGATACTTCATTTGAATTGCAAAAACTTAGAAGCACTCACAAAAATAAAGTTAATAAAATGTTTCTCAAGGACACTTTATGCATGTGTTGCCTATATATACATTGCATTTTTTGTATACCATCTTTGAAGGAAGATACTCGTAAGATAGTTACAGAAATATTAAAGTTACACTAACTCAAAACAAATGCAATTACACAATTACCGGTTTTTCTGAGGCTTATTGTGTAAGCTGCTCTTACTCGGCACTTATTAATAGAAAAGTGGGCAGCTAGCTAACGTTACTAGGTTAGACACTGATGCAACTATTTCCCCAGTTGATTCATGACAAAATCTAAATGTGGGCATCTCATTTATGCAGGTACGGGTGTTCATCAACCAGTTATATCAGCCACGTTTGGTGCAAGAAATCAGCAAAAACCCAGACTTGCAGGCCATCCGAATTGCTGCTGTGAACCCCATCCTGGACCCCTGGATCTATATCCTTCTGCGGAAGACAGTGCTCAGCAAAGCAATAGAGAAGATCAAGTGCCTCTTCTGCCGCATTGGCGGGTCCCGCAGAGACCGTTCGGGACAGCACTGCTCAGACAGCAGAAGGACATCTTCCGCCATGTCTGGCCACTCCCGCTCCTTCCTCTCCCGAGAGCTGAAGGAGATCAGCAGCACATCTCAGACCCTCCTGTACATGCCGGACCTCAGTGAAAATGGTCTTGGCGGCAGGAATCTGCTTCCCGGTGTACCTGGCACGGGCCCGGCCCAGGCAGACACCACCTCCCTGAGGACTTTGCGAATATCAGAGACCTCGGACTCCTCCCAGGGGCAGGATTCAGAGAGTGTGTTACTGGTGGACGAGGTTAGTGGGAGCAGCAGGTCTGGGCCTGCCCCCAAGGGGAACTCTCTGCAAGTCACATTTCCCAATGAAACACTGAACTTATCAGAAAAATGTATATAGTAGCTAAGGAAAGAAATACAGCACTATTTCTGCTATTTCTGGAAGCATATAAAATCCTGTGCAATAGACACATAAATGAAGTGTTTCGCTGTGCGCAGAAGGGCTGTTTGTCCTTCAACTCACATTAGAGAACATCTGGGCTCTTTAGCACTTTCCAGTCAAGTTGATTCATAGGGGACCCAGGGTCTGAAGCACATTGGTTTTCACTTCACTATGACACAGGATTTCTGTCACCACTTGATGGCTGGGAAGATCTACCCTCAGTTTTTCTACTTGATAGGAGGATGGCATAAGTTTTGCTATTTTCATAACATCCAGAGCTTTATATCTGGCATACAGCAGAAGGCCAGGTATGGAAGGGCTCTATTCCAATAAACTATGAGGACTATCTTGTGATTTAAGTGTCTCACTAAAGCATGAAATGTGAATTTTACTGTTGTAAATATGACTTAAGGTATTTAAAGTATTTTCTTCTCTGTGAGAAGGTTTATTGTTAATACAAGGTATAATAAAATTATGGTAACCCCCTTCTTCCCAGTATAACCAGCTGAAGTTGCAGATGTTAGATTTTTTTCATAAACAAGTTCAGGCCAAGGTGTGGAAAATACACAGTGAGACTCATAGCTATAAAAAAAAGATATAAATTTTTAAAAGAAAGAGTTTAATATTATAAAAGGAATAAAGCAAAATACTATTTTAAGACATGAACATTATAGTCCAAAATATTAAAGTTCTTTCCAAGTTATGTGTGATACATAGTGAAAAATTTTTAGTGATGCTACATGTATTTATCCAGAAAACTGTGATTTCGGAAGAAGCTAACCTGCTGGTTAAAATATTTTTTCTACTTTTGACCCCACTGATACTTTTAAAAATATAACGAATTTTAAAAAGTCTGAATAAATAACCCATAATTGAAGTGTATAATATAAAAGAAGTCTAAGCAACTTGTTTTCCCTCTTAAAGTGTTCATAGTTTTACTTTCCTAAGGAATGATCTAGAGTATCCTTTAAAATTTAAGAGGAAGGCAGGTTGCACCATGAAGGCCTTTATTTTGAGATGTGGAAGTTATCACAGATGCCGTAAGAGTTTAACAACATAAAGAGTGCAGGACTTGGACACATGAGGGTAACCTTCTTGCGGCTTCGTGTAATACCCAGTGACGCTGTACACATTTGAAGGACCTTTCTCAAGGAAGTACTAAGCATGTTTTGTTGCTTAAAATGTTTTTGTGAATTGCTTGGTTGTAATTAAATTCTGAGCCTGGTAGTGATACGGTTTTAAGAAGCAGTTGTACCAACTGAAATTATTTTGGAGATTACAATAAATAAATACACTCAGTCTGAGTTCCGTATCATCAGTTTTGGAAAACCTGTGTGATTTTTGGGTTTCAGGTCATCGTCTACATCTTTTAAATTGGAATCTTTAAATTGTTTTATTTTGAAGTGATATCAATTTTAGGAAAAAAGTTACAACAGGAAAAAGCCTTGGATCCACTTAATGGCGAATGATACTGGGGAGAAACCAAGATCTGGGTGTAAGGTGGACTCAAAATCACATTTGTATGGGTGGAGGAGAGTACCGGGGAGACGATATTATGCCTAACTTGCTGCATGTGGAGAACCCAAATATTTATTACAAAAAAATTAGCATAAGCTTGTGGCCCTTCCTACTTGTAAATTCTCTCAATCAGTGCTTCTCAAACTTGATCATGCACTAGAGTCATCCGGAGAGCTTGTGAGAACAGATTTTCTGATTCTGTAGGTCTGGGGTGTATACACTTCTGAAAAGCTCCTAGGTGACTCTGATGTAGCAGTATGAGTACATACTCGGAGTAATCCCCAGGAGTGAGGTTGTGATTTGCCATTTGCAAGTTTTTAAAGGTATTTTTGGATGATGTCAGAAAAACGGGACTGGCATCTTCACAAGCCTGAAGGCACAGTGATTCTCAGCTGAGGTCGGCATAGCTTAGAAGGAGCTTCTAGTCCAAGCCTGAGATGTTCCATTTCCCCATGCTAACCAAAGCCTAAGAAACAATGTTTTCAGGGAATATTTTACCTGTGAAAGAGGCTTTCATTCTTCTCCCATGTATATGGACAATAAGGCAATCCTTAGATTTGTATATAAATGAAATCTATATATTATAATATACTACACATACTATATATCACCTGTGTTTATGGAGGAAAAACTAAGCTTCATTCACAAGTTAGTATTACTAATACTCAAAGCATAATCTCACTCATACTTCACTTCAGAGGTTCACCATCCAGAATATAGACTCTGGCTTATTCTTTTTTTAATTAAAATAAAATTCACGTATTATAAAGTTTGCCCCATATTTTAGTATGTTCACAGAATCAACCATCACTGCTGATTCCTGAACATACTTATCATCCCAAAAAGAAGCCACATGCCTGCCCGTCAGCAGTCACTCCCCATTCTCCTCTCTCCCTAGCACATGACAACCACTCTATCTCTACGGATTCTCCTGTTCTGAACATAAATGGCATCATACAATATGTGGCCTTCAATATCAGGCTTGTTTCACTTAGCATAATATTTTCAAGGTTCATCCATGTTGTAGCATGAATCAGTTCTACATTTCCCTTTTATGGCTGAATAATACTGCTGTATTTCCCTTTTTTTAAAAAAAATTCTGTATTTCTGATAGTAGTATTTGTATACAAGTTTTTATGTGAACATGTTTTCAATTCTCTATATACCTGGGAATAAAATTGCTGGGTCATATGTTAACTATATGTTCAATTTTTTGAGGAACTGCCAAACTGTTTTTCCCAAGTGTCTTCACCATTTTACATTCCCACCAGCAATGTACAAGGGTTTCGATTTCTCCGTATCTTCATCAATATTTCTTTTCCTCATCAATATTTCTTATTGTCTTTTTTGGTTCTAGCCGTCCTAATGGATATGAAGTGGTACCTCACTGTGATTTTGATTTGCATTTCCCTAGTGACTAATGATGTTGAGAACCTTTGCACATGCTTACTGGGCATTTGTATATCTTCTCTAGAGAAATGTCTATTCAAATCCTTTGTGCATTTTTAAATTGAGTTCTATGTCCATATTAGTTTGCTAAGTCTACCATAACAAAATACCACAGACTGTGGGGCTTCAAGCAGAAATTTATTTTCTCACAGTTCTAGAAGCTGGAGGTCTAAGATAAGGTGCTGGCAGGCTTGGCTTATCCTAGGGCCTCTCTCCTTGCCTTGAGATGGCCATTTTCCTGCTGTGCTGTCACATGGCCTTCTCTTTGTACACCTGCTTCCCTGATGTCTCTTTTGTTATAAGGACACTACTCATACTGGACTAGGGCCCACCCTTATGACCTTGTTTGACCTGAATTACCTCCTTGAAGGCCCTACCTCCAAATACAGTTACATGGGGTCAAGGAGAGGGCTTCACCATCTGAATTTCAAGGAGATACAATTCAGTCCATGACAATGTCTTTTGATTGTTAAGTCTGGTTTATTAAAAGAACAGCCGAGGAAGAAAAACTTCAGCATTGTTCGTCATCCATTCCACATCTATTTATAAAACTTACCAGCTATGTGATGTGAAGATAGTTTCTTGTGGGAAACTTGTTCCTGAACATTTACAGCTTCAAACTTTCTATGCAAGAAAATTCTGATTGTCTAACTGGCTGGTATTAAACTCTACCTGGTCCCAATAGGATCCAGTGGAGAGAAAGATAATCATAACTCCATCTTATGATCTTTAAGACAATCTAACCAACATGTCAAGTGTGTTAGGAAAGATGGTTAGATTGGTACAGCTATTAAAGTGGTACTTTGATGAGAAGACCATGGAATACAAAAGTCCTTTCCCAAAGTGCAGCCACCCTCTCCATGGTTTCTTACTGGCGTCACGAACACAAAGGCCCATGGGAAAACCAAGGCATGGTGGTATTTACTGTTAGCTATGCCTTTGGCCTTAAATCTTAATGCAGAAATAGCCACATGACATGAGATGGTCATTTTTCCTAAACTACAGGCAATCCCTACCTTCCCAAGGTTTGCATTACACCACTTCACTCTCGCAAAAGACCTACATTAGTATGTTTTCACTAACCCAAAGGAATCCAAAGAAGATTTTTGCTTTTGCCAAAAAGTTGAAAAGCAAAAATAGCATTCAGTGTTGGTTTTGCATCGAGCCATTCCAGAGGCAGCACAGCCCTGGGCAGCGACAGTGGTCCCCCAGCTTCCTGCCCCAGAACCAACACTCAGCCTCTCGGCACCAAGCCGCCAGGGCTTGAACTGTGTCCGTGAGCATCTGTGCTTTATCTGGAGTTCTTTTGTGTGTTCGTTGGCAAAATGTGTCCTACAATATCAAAAAAGTCTAAGAGAGGTTATTTCGGGGGTTTGAGAAAACTCAAAATTTTTTCCATATACATTCATTGTCATTGCTTCTTCACTTTATATTGTTTCAACTTATGAAAGGTTCAGTAGCCTTGCTCTCCTTCCAGATAGCAGTGAAGCTGTCCTTGTGATTGCTTCAGAACAAAACACGCCGTGAAGTGTGCTCTCTTCCACTGCTCTCCCCACCACATGCCTTTCCCAGCACCTCCAAACCTGAATCTGAGATACTGCAGGTATGATCGCAAGGTGGCTTTCCAGATACACAACGAATGGAACCAGAGAGAAAGAGAATCAACAAAAACAGCACATTTGACCCTGTTGGTTAGCATGGGTCCTGGGGCATACCTGGGGCTTTAGCTGCAGGCTGGAAACACTTTGGAAAAAAAGAAAGATAGTTGCGCCTCCTATCCTCATATCAATATCAGTGTCTCTACCATTCATTCATTACCCTATCTTTACCTTTCTAGGTCATCTACCCCATTCCACAGCATGGGAGAGAAAGAAGAGTATGCCAAACATTCCTATGTCCAGAAAACATTTAACCATGGCAAGTCCACACACTAAAATCTGAACAATTTGGTCAATATTTCTTTTTGAGAAGGGGTGAAACAAGATTCAATGCAAGGGAGAAGCAAAGAGAATTCCCAGAACCATGATGAAAAAGCTCAAGGCAACAGCTCTGTAGCAGGCCAGGGACGCACATCTAGACTGAGGCAGGAGAGGAGTTCTAGGATCTCGCTAAGGTTTAAAAAAAAATTGACAGATTATTTAATGTTTGGCAATATTGAGAGTAGTATTACATTTCTATTAGACAATGAAGGGAAAAATTAGTCATATATCTATGGAAAACAACGCAACAACAAAAGTAATTATCGACGCCATGAGCAACAAAGTACAAAAAAGTTAAACTAATAATATTCGAGGTGAGATTAACTATGTGTGATAATTACATAGCCCTATTAAATAATGAATATAGATTGAAGCCAAAATGATAATCAATTTTACTGGGAATGGAGGCAGAAGTGGTAAATAAATATACTGGGGGGAATGTAAGAGGGCTAAATCATACCCATCTATAATAAGAAATCAAGTTCATGGGGTACCCGGGTGGCTGTTGGTTAAGTGTCTGCCTTCAACTCAGGTCATGAGCTCAGGGTCCTGGGATCAAGCCCCATGTCGGGCTCCTGAATCATCGACAAATCTGCATCTCCCTCTCCCTCTGCCCCTCGACCTTGCCACCCTGACCCCGCTCATGTGTTCTCTCTCTCTCTCTCTCTCAAATAAATAAATATCTTTTTAAAAAATAAAAATAAAAAATGAAGAGACATATCAACAGATGCAATAAATGGACTTTTGGTGGATCCTAATTTAATCAAACCATACTATCACTCAATGTGATGTAATTGACAAGAACTACAATGTGGCTATTTTAAAACTGAACTTATAATTTAAAACCCTCCCCAGAAGAAAACACTAGGGCCTAGATGACTTCACTTGCTAGTTCTATTAAGCACTATTGAAAGAAATACCGAATCTATAGAAACTGAGAAAAGAGTAGATGGAAATACTCAACTTTTTTACAAATGAGCTCAGCATTAACCTGATTGGACAACTACAAGAAAACTACAGACTGATATTCTTCATAAACATAGACATAAAAATCCTTAATAAAAATGTTATGAAATTGAATCAAAAAAGATCTAAAAAGGATAACCCAGCATGACTAAATACGGTTTATCCCAGAAATGCAGTTGATTTGCCCTTTGAAAAATAAACATAATTCATTATAAAGGAAAAATTATAAGATCTTCTCTGAGAGATGCAGAAAATACATTTAACAAAATTAATTGCCCAGGGACTTCCTCAATTCAACAAAGGACATGTATTAAAAAAACTACAGGTGCCATCATACTTAACGGTGAAAGACCAAAAGATTATAAATGAGGCAAGACTGTCCATTCTCACTGCTTCTATT